ATGCTTCCACAAAAATCATGGATGCAACACAAAACTTACCTGTGTGGGGCAGGGAAAGATGTACCCATGAAATTCCAGAACATGCACATTACAGGATGTAAGTTCTGTACTTAAATACTATATTGTAGTAGTCTAAACAAACACCAAGAGTACTGGAGAAAGATAAAATCACTTAGAGTATCTATAATCACCTAAAGTATCTATCCATGGGAAAGTAGCAGGGCTATTTTGGGGAAAATAATAATTCTCTAATAATACCTCTCCTGCAGCCTCAAGCCCTGCCACGCTGTGAGGGTCTGTGTAGTATATTCCAACATCCAGAGTTTGTAGAACAGCATCATATTGAGAATGACCAGCAGCACCAGACTGGAAAGAAGGAGAACAGTCAGTTTAGCAGGAGCACTTCACAGCCCATTGCCAGGCACACCTGGGAAATGCCCAAGGCTTGAGAAGGTGTCTGAGGCCCAGGTCCACCCTGGATGTGAGTGGGAACTTAAATCTGAGTAAGGACCAGGTGGTCAGAACCCAAAACTGCACCTCGTGGAAGAAATGCGTGAGCAAGGAGGACAGAGAGACAGAAAGACAGGGATGAGGGATCAGCCAGAACAGGTTGGATGGGTGGATGTGCTGAATGCAGAGAAAGAGAGGGAAATGGGAGAGTAAAGAGGTAAAAAAAGAGAGAGACAGTACCTGAAACAGATCCTAATGGGAGCAGGGAAGAGAAAAGACGGAGCAGCTGCAGGTTAGAAACGGACTGACACAGACCAGGAGAAACTGGGCTGAGAGAGGAGGCTCAGAGACAGTGCAGGAGGTACAGGGGGGCCAGGGGAGGAGAAAGGAACAGTGGGGAGAGAGGCAGGAAGGACAGACAAATACCCCTGTGCCTGCATTCCTGGTGCAATTCCCCCAGCAAAGCTGAGCTGTGGCTCTGGGGGACGAGCCCCAAGTGTGCCCACCGTGTGACACACAGCCAGGCTGCACACAGCCCTGCCCAGCACTGCTGGCACTGGGAACACCCCCACAACCAGACCCTGCACTGCTCCTCTCACCCACCACCACCACCACACACCAGCATTTCCTCTCCTCCTGGGGAACACATTCCAAAAATACCAGGCTGGTGCCTGTCTCTGAACAGAGCAGCTGTTCTGCTGGAAGAATGGCCCACTATCACCAGCTCAGTCAGGAGGAGGGCAACTGGCCAGAGGAGTGTTCTGAAATCATTATCAGGGCTCTCTGACCTAAGGGAAGCTCACAGCCTGGCAGGAGACGTTTTCATAAAGCTTTTTTGTACCTTTCTACTGTTTTCTTATCACGACAGGACTTGACATCACCTTCCCAGCAACTTGGCTGGGTTGCTGCTGCAAAACTCTGCAGTCAGTGCCCCCACTGGGAAAAGGAAACACAGAAAGGAGCTCAATTTGAACTGTAAGTTCAGTCTACAAATTCCAGCTTCTTCCCACCTCACTGAAAGGTGGCTGGAGCTTAAGGAAAGACTGAGCCCAAGAAAAAACCCCCTCTGTACCTGGATTGCTCCTTTAGTCTGCACTGCAGCACTAACACATGAAGCTCACCTAAGAGGCAGAGAACCAGCAGACACACCTCAGTTCAAGTGTTAGACTGAGCCACAGGGATACAAGGGGACCATTCCCAGCCCACTTGGAGCCCACATCCAAGTCCAGAACTAGCAACTGGGAAAGGTGTGGCAGAAAAGACCCCCCACATCAAACACAGTTTTTGCTGCTGAACTAGGAAAATCAACCTCTTGTGCTTCACACGTTTCCATCCTTATTTTGAAGAAATCATCTCTAAAGGGTCCAGCTTCTTTTTGGGATGGTATCTCACACCCAAATCACCACCTAGGACTAGACCCAAATAGGTTTTGCCAGACCAGAATTTCCCCACAGAATCTGAACCTTGTTGTGATAAGACAATGGCTCCCAGAGAGCTTTGTTTGGTCATTGTTCTTGATAACAGCTGATTTGTGAGCAGAATACATTAAAAGACTTATTTTAAATTTAAAACACCCCACGGTTTATAGATGTCATTGAAAGTCTCTAAATTGAGTCCCTGAAAGAAAAAAGACTCTATCTACTTTTTCTCTTTTTTTTCTCTTATTTTTTTTCTCTCTTTTTGTGTTTCTTCTCTTTCAGGTATTGATGCCCCTCTCCTTGCACGTCCCAGACCTGCGTTTAGGACTCCCAAAAACATGCAGGTCTACAAAGCCCACGTCTGGTTAAAAAAAAGGGTAAACCTGAGCAGAAAGAAGGGAGCACAGAACACCAGAAATGCAGACAAACCAAAGCTGTTCAAGGCTGACTGTGAAGGAAAGCAAAAACCATCACTTACACAAAACTGATGACAAGGAGCAGCTTGGAGACACTCTGCAGGTGGAAGCCACTGGGGCTTTCCTCGGGGATGTGCCGTGTCTGAGTGGAACCTGAGGAGATGGATGCATTTAGGACAGGGAATGCTGTCCCTCTCACAGAATCAACCAGGTTGGAAAAGTCCTCTGAGATCATCGAGTCCAACCTGTGACCCAACACCGCCCTGTCACCCAGCCCATGGCACTGATGCCACATCCAGCCTGCTCTTTAACACCTCCAGGGATGGTGCCTCCATCCCCTCCCTGGGCAGCCCATTCCAATGCGTGATCCTTCCCAATGTCCAACTTCTTCCTAACATCCAACTAAAACTAAAACTTCTTCCTAGTGTCCAACCTAAACCTCCCCTGGTGCAGCTGAAGACCGAGCCCTCTTGGGAGAAAAGCCTGACCCCAGCTGGCTACACCCTCCTGTCAGGGAGCTGTGGTCAGTGAGAAGCTCACCCCTGAGCCTCCTCATCCTCTCCAGGACGAGCTCCCCCAGCTGCTCCTCACAGGACTTTGTGCTCCATCCCTTCTCTGGAATCAACCCTCCCCGCCCAAACAACCACAACACCCCCTCCCTGCCCTGCAAACCAATTCCCCTGGAGCAGGGCAAGCAGAGGTGCCTTTTCCTCCCCCTCACCTGCCACGTGCTTGCTGCGGTGTGCCACCTCCTCGTCGGTGGGGGTGGTGACGGGGCTCAGCACCTCCTCCAGGTGTGGCACCCGCAGGTGGGCGTGGGCGCGTTTCCGGCGCCGCACCGTGGATTGCTTGCTCACCTTCTCCTTGGGGGATTGTCTGTGCACCTCGGCCAGGTACGTGCTCTCCGTCTTGGCCAGCTCGCTCTCTGTGGGGGCAGGAGGGGAACATTGCAGGGATGTGGCTTCCAGAGATGGTTCAGGGATTTAAGGCCTCTCACGGCGCAGAGAAGTTGGCAGGGGCTGAGAGACACGTTCCTTCCACCTCCTGCCAACCCCTGAGCCCAGGCTGCCTGGCAGAGAGCAGGACTCCCTGCCCTGGTTAATCCCAGCTGTGGTGGTCCCTTTTATAAGCCACCCCAAGGTGGGCTCCCCAGGCTGCCACGCCGTGCCTAAACCACTGTAAGTGTAGATACCCTTCTGGAAGATTTGTAAGGAGGAGATGAGGGCTTGTTTCGCTTAGGAAGCCTTTCCTGCCTAAGAAGAAACACCTTTCTCATGGCTAATTTGGATGTTTTATCCTCTTGCCTTAAACACCTCCAGGGATGGTGACTCCACCTCCTCCCTGAGCAGCCCATTCCAATGTCTGATCCCTCCCAATGTCCAACTTCTTCCCAACATCCAACTAAAACTGAAACTTCTTCTTAGTGTCATTCTCAGATCTCTGAGATGAGGAGAGAGAAACTCATGCAGGCTACAGGGCCTGGGGGGAGGCCAGTAAAGATAAAAAGCCTTGAAGAGAACAGGAGGCCTGTCTTTCTGAGGTTGTTCTTTCTGCAGCACTGCTAGAAGTTTTTTCCCCTTGCAAGCCCAGTGTTCTCGACTTGGGAATAAATTTTCCAGAACTCCTTCCACTGCCTGGCATTTCGGGGGTACATGTGTGTTATCCTGCTTCCCAGCCACGGGAGGTGCCACTGTCTGTGTGTCACTACCACAGTCACTGCCACTCTTACCCAAATGACGGAAATAATCCTCCAGGCCACTCCAAAAATTCTTCTCAATGAAGGATTTCACCAGCCCCCAAGGCTGTTTCCTGTAACGTAACTCCGTGGAAACCCTGTGAGAAGAAAGGATGGTCGTTCTCCCAGGTTTTGAAATATCAACTCACAACCTCTGTCACTGTAAGTACGAGAAATAATCCTGCACACTGGGATTATTTCTGGGATGGTCCCAGCCCTTCGTGTTCCTCAAGGAGAAGCACTGCATGGAGAGTCCTTCCAGAGGCAGGAAGAGCCTCTCCCAAAAGGCAGGCAGACATTTAGGTTACTTATTGAACTGTAAGTTCAGTCTACAAGTTCCAGCTTCTTCCCACCTCACTAAAAGGTGGTTGGAGCTTAAGGAAAGACTGAGCTTAAGTCAGAAAAACCCCTCTGTACCTGGGTTGCTCCTTTAGTCTGTACTGCTGCACTGCAGCACTAACATGAAGCTCACCCAAGAGGCAGAGAACCAGCAGATACACCTGGGTTTTAGTAGCAGACTTAAAAAGTCTACAGAAAAAGCCCCAGAAAAGCCTATAGCTCTGCCTGATACCAAATTCCTCTGCTTCTCCCCAAAGTGCATCTCAGAGGTACAATCCCTGGAAATATGTCCTGTTGCTTATCACAGGTAGTTGACTGCACGTGACAACAGGCCCTGCAGACCACTGCTTCCAAGAAAGGGCAGGAGAAGCCTTTAAATCCTCTCCCTGACCCAGCTGGAACTCCCCTGCATCAGCTCTGATGTTTGCTCCGTGTCACCCCAGCAGGAACCTGCCCCTACTCTTTGTGACAGGAGCGTTCCAGCCACAGGACAAAGAGTCCCCCTCAACCCCTCCTAACACACCAAACAGCAAAACTCCCACCCCGAGGTGACTTTCTGGTCACCAGAAAAGCTCTTTTAATCCCCCCAGAAAGCGTACCTGAGTCGGCTTTTGTTTCTGGCCACACGAGTCAACGTGTAGCGGTTGATGGTGTAGAAATAATCGTGGTAGGGGACGTCGTGGGTTAGCACCTCTGCATCTATGACATAGCACTCGCTCTCCTGGCTGGCTTTGTACATTGTCTGCAGAAAAGACAGCAGGCAGGGCAACTGTTGGTGTGATCAGAACACAGCTCTGATGGATGGCACCGGCACAAAACACACACCCACCCCCACAGCCCTGCCCCAGCTCACCCCAGGCAGACTCCAGGAAACCAAGTGTTTCACCCAGATGCTTCCCAAGGGTGTATTTCAAAAGGGTTTTATGTTCCAGCAGCTCAACCTCCAGTGTTTTGTAACAGAGATGAGGAGTAGTTCTTTGGGACCTTTGCAAGTATGGCCTCTGTTCTAATGTCTGGCTTGTCAGGGACCAACCTGAGCCACAGTCAGACACGGTCCTGCTTTGAGCAGAGGCCTCTCTAGCATAAATTATTCCCTGATTCTAAACGCCATAAAAACATGTTAATTACTTCTTTTAAGTGCTTCTGATCTGCTTCTTCCTTTGCTCCAGAACAAACCTCATGAAGGGGACACAGTTAATCGCAGATCCATGTACAAAAATATGGCTTTTCTTACAGACCATTTCCACTTACCTCTGCAGCAAGGGCACAGCAAGGTGTGCCTTGGTGGGTGACCCCAAACTCAGCATAAAATAGGCCATGTCTTTCTCTGAAAATGTGCTGTTCCCTTTGCCCATCACTTTGTTGTCCCCTTTCCTTTCCCTTCCCTGCACAGTCTTGGTTTCTGAACAGCAAATTTCATCCCATCTTCCCCATTTACACCTTGCTGCTGGGATTCTCCTTCCATCCTCCCCAGTTACACCTTGCTGCTGGGGTTCCTCTGTCCCTGAAATGCAATGCTCAGACATCCCTTCCAGGCTCCCTCTTAGTATTCCCTAATACTAAGCTAACTCTCAGTATTTACCTTCGGCCACTTGAACATATCTCTGGACAAGGAAAGAGGCTTTTCCTCCCTCTCCAGTTGCAGCTCCCATTAGATACAGCCAGCCTGGCTCCTCCCAGTGCACTGCAGGTCCTTCCCCTTTTTACCTTCTTAAATATATCTCATTGTCCTCCCCATAATAAAAACATCTCCCTGCAAAGCTGTGAGAAGAACTGGCCAGACAGTACCTGACTTTCTTGTGCCCTGCTCAGGAATAACATCTGCTGGAGTGACCACAGCCCAAAAAACCACCAGAATGGGTGACAAACACATTTGTTAAAATGTGCTGGTTTGTTCACAAACTCATCTGCTTTTGTTGGAAAACTCGTGGTCCTCTCCTGGCAACACAATCCAGTGTAAGACCAGCTAATCACGTCTGCAGTGACACTGGGCAGTAAGTTAATACAAAAAAATGTGTAAAAGAAAAGGGATAGGGACAATGAGAACATGCATAGCAGCATGGTCAAGGCAAGAAAATAACTCCCAGATCAGTTCCTACCCAGCAGCACAGCCCTGCTCCCCCCTCACATACCTGTGTCTCTGTGACAGTGGCAGTTTTGGGGGCCAGAGGGTTGGTGAGGGTAATGGTATACAGGATCACTCTGGTCTGATTGCCATTTTCTTCCTTCTTCCAGGGATTAAAGATAATATCTGAGGGGACACAACAATATTCCAGTTAAGTTATCAGAGAGGGGTCTCTGGTCATGCACTAGGGAAAGGCATAACAAGCTTGGGACAGTATTTCCTTGCCCTTGCAGAGCCTGGCTGCAGAAGCACTAGAGCTCAGCAGAGTGTGAAAGAAAGGGCTCCTGAGCTAAATGGGAATATTTTCCCTTCTTTGAAGTGCAGGGAAAGTTGGAGAGGCTGGGAATACATCTCCTTTAGCAAACCTACAGTTACAGGGAAAGGAGAACCACAATATGTCAGGGGACACTCTCTGCATCAGCAAGTGCAGTGTCTGGTGTGGAGCCAGAAGAGCTTTCTCCTCACACTGCTAAGCCTTTAACACAGAGTCAGGCCTTAGCTGATGCTAAAAAATAAGAGGGTCTGCTTCTTCCATGAATTTTGCTGCTAGAAAATAAAACTAGATGGGCAAGCAAGGCTGGTTCTGCCTGCTTTTCATTACTGACTGCACTGTCCCAAAATCTGCTCAGACATTACCCAACCCCTCCATCAGGCGAAGATACATCTCCAAGGCAGAGATTTTCCTTCTGCCCTGTGCCTTGGCAGGGATCCCAGGAGGCTCCCCAGGGAGCACAGGTTCCCCAGGGAGCACAGGAGGCTCCCCAAGGACAATGGGCTCACCAGAGAAGCGGCGTTGCTCCATGAAGTCCCTCTGGAACTGGGAGTCTGTGAAGAGCAGGTCGTAGAGCTTGTCCACGCTGAAGTTGAACACCTCGTTCACGTACTGACGGCCGTTCAGGTCCTCATAAAAGGCCTGGACTTCCCCTGTGGGGAAACAGGCCCCCATTTCTGAAAACTTTACACCTGTGAACTGATCTTCTACCTCTGAATATGCAGCCTTGACATATCTGTCCCCCAGGATCACGGGGGCTGTGTTTCCACAGCACCAGGGCCTCAGTATTTTACTTTGTGAAGAAGGAAGAAGAGGGACTTCTAACCCTTTTCCTCCACTGATCCCAGGACAACAGTGGGGATATCAGAAGGGGTAATCACCTCCATAGCTTATTTCAGGGATATCCTTCCGAATACCCCACATATCCACTTTCTGCAGCCCACAGTGGGGATTCTTTGCATCTTCTGAACTCCAGGAAAGGAATCCAGTATTTGCCACTCCAGTCCCTCCCTAGAAAGGGTGTAAAACACACCGAGGGAATGGCCCTTCCCCACATACCTTCATCGTGGGTCTCTGAGGAGTCACTGAGCTCAGTGGGAATGTCTTCGTTGTCATTGAAGTCCAGGGAAGGGGAGTTCACAGGGCCAATGATGTCCATCTTCTCTCCCATGATATTTGCAATGCCGAGGTCTTTTTCCACAGGGCTCTCTGCCACTGCCTCCTCCTCTTCTGGGAGCACTCCATCGAACTGCAGCAAGCACAGAGCACAGGGAGGGCAGCATCAGCACCTGGAAACTGGGGCTCATTTCTGAAAACTTTGCATTTGTGAACCAATTGTCTACCCCTGAGTATTTAGCTTTGACATGCCTGAAAAATTCAATAACAGAGGAGGAAAGCTGCCATACAGTGTTTGTAAAACATGTGGATATATTGGTTTACCTCCTGTCAAACAATCAGTGTTCGAGCTTGGGACACCACAAGGCTTTTTTATCCAGACAAGCACACAAACAATACTAGTTTTGCTCTCAAACAAGCTGAAAAAACCTGAGGTGATAACTGAACAAGGTCTGCTCTGCCATAACACCACGAGGGCACCGCTGAAGGCAGCAAAGCAATGATAACCCTTTTTATCTCCAACACTCCACTCCTTTCCATCTGAGGGCACAGAAAGGAAAATGCACTTGGCTGCTGAGAGCCCCAGGCTTTTAGGACGGGCACACTTGGCTCATTTTTTTTTGGCCACGCAGAGACGTGAAGTCAGTGGAGGAGCAGAGGGGTTCCCTCACACAAGCAAGCAGTGGGATCCCAGGGAGGAGCATTCCCTCTCCCAGGGGAGGGAGGACACTCACCGAGGCTGGAGCTTCGCTGCTGCCCGTGGATGTCAGGGTGCTGGCAGTGACAGATTTCTTTGGCAGCTGAGGGCTGGCTTCTGGCTTGGCCTCCATGCTGCTCTTGGAGGAGCTGTCGTTGACTTCGTTCTCTTCCACGGGGATTTCCTCACAGTAGCTGAGGCGCCACAGAGAACACAGGTTTTTACATTTACCCCTCTCAGTACAGCTACAACTGGACACACAGAGCGAGTCAGAACAGTCCTATGAAGTTTCCAGTGTGGCCAAGAAGCAGAAATGGCTCAGTGAAGCCCAGACTTTTCAGTGTTTATACACAGACCAACAAGCATCAGCACTTTCTGACCATGTAACCCTGTGACTGGGATGCTCTGGCATTTGCACAGTTGCCCAGCTGGCATTTCAATCCCTACCAACTTCCATGAGCAAATGGTGGGCTTTCAGTGTTTCAGGCATTACACATTTGAGGGCAAACCTTTGGCCAGATCCCAGAACCTCTCACCAGGGACAAGCAGCACTCTGAGGCCTGCAGTATATCCTGCTCTCCTGGGGGCACCTTTTCTTCCTCCCAGGCAGAGTTTCCTCCTCCTCACTCACCCCATTGTGTTGAAGTCATCATCAGGAGGCACATAGTCTTCATCATCACTGGTCAGACCCAGCTCGTTCCCATAGCACTGGTGGACAAAGTGCCAGAGCTCCTTTGGACACAGAGGCTAAAAGGGGATGGAGAACAGCACACATTTGCATCCAAGAACACTAAAACAGAATGACAGTCTGGAATTCCCATTGTCAGGAGTACCTTGCTTGCCCTGAAAGGAGAAGTGAGAGATCCTGACACAGCCCCTGATGGGAGGTGAGAGCCTTACACTGGACTCACCTCTGTGAAATTCCATTTTATGGAATTTATTTTGTTAGGCCAAGCTACCTTAGAGGTTGCCCCCACCAAGCACATTCCCAAAAAAGCCTTCACCTTCAGCCCAGGTTCTGCCCTAAAACCTGATTTTGTTATTTTTCCATGCCACAATCTCACATTACTCAAGACTGTCAGAAAGCCAACACGAGGCTACACCCAGAGCAGCACATGGGATGAGATTTTCCACTCTACAATGGAATAATGCCAGCAGCAAACCTGCATTTCCCTCCACAGGTGTTTTCCTACCTCTTCTGCTGTGCTTCCATTTAATATCTGCTACTTTACCAAGCCCCAGTGGGGAGTACTTACAAGGAAAATAACCTTACAAGGTTATTTTGCCCTTCCAAGTTTCCTTAAATTAAAGCTGCCTAAAGAATCCCAGCTGCAGGGAAAATGATTTAAAGCAGCAACAAAGAAAAACGCTTCCTGTTGCAGTCTGAAATCAAAAGGAGTTTGTATCACCAGATACTTCTGTGAAAAGTATATACTTGAGATAAAAAGAGAAAATTAATTATCCAGAGTGTTGACAAAAACCCAGTTTTTCAGGGATGCAGGTCAGTTGATCACCATATGACTGTGATCTGAGGTTCTTAAAAATGGGGCAGAACTTGTGATTTAAATACGTGGCACGGGGATAAAAAGGGATGGATTTTTACCCACGAGAAACTTATGACCAATGACAAAGATTTCTTGGTAATGAGGGAAAACAAATCCAGTGACCTTTTCCTGAGTTGCCGGCTTGAATTTCTTCCCATAGTAACTGCATGGGATAAGGCAGGAATTTTTTAATCCAGCTCCCAAAAGTAGCAGTCAAAAGCATGGGAAAAAACCCACTCTAATGAGGAACTTCTATCCAGAGAAATGTCTGACTGTTTCACCTTCTCCCCACACACACTCTCATTTGCATGTTTGATCAGGAAAACTGGACGAGGTTCTTTCTCCCCCTCTTGGAAAAAGAGCCCTGGAAGTGTTTCCTGTCCTTATCACTCCATTTGCTCTGAACTTGAAACCAAGGGCACGCTGAATTTTGTCAGGAACTTCCAAAGGCTCCTCAAATTACAGCACCTGGCCCAGCACAAGCTGCCCAATGCAAAGCGATCCCTGTGCATCCCAAATACTCCCCCAGTTTTTGGGACAGGGTATTGCTGGTGCTGGATTACTTGAGCCTCCCAGTATGGTCTGAACTCCAGCCAGGGCATCCTGAAACGCTGGAAGCACTGGAACATCAGTTCCTGAGGCTGAGGAGTGAGGCCACAAATACTCACCAGGCTGTGGAGTAGATATTTGGATGAGATACAGGATATATGGGGCCTCTGGCACAGCAGGAGAACATCCCTGCTTTATTTTAAAACTGAGCCCTGAGTGCACCCTGCACCCACCACTGCTCTCCTTTGGATTTGGGATGCCCTGAACACTCTTTATCTGCCCTGTCTGGAACTCCACACTTCCAAAGCACAGAACTCTGCCTGCACACTGAGCTATTCCTCTTGCCTTTGGAACTGCTTTTTTCTGGGCTGCTTCACTGGAATTACACACTCCAAAAACATTCCCTGCCGAGACCCTGTTTCCACTCCTCAGCAAAGGCAGGGTGGCACCTACAATGTGTGCACAGAATTCCATGCAAAAAGAAGGAATTGCACCTGCAGTTATGAACATGCTCTGCCTAAAAATATGTGCCTGCTGTCCCAGTGTCTTTTGATGCATATGCAGCAGTGAGGTTACATCCATCCCCTCCCTTCCACCCCAGCCAACAGTGAGGTGATGGTCTCAGTACCTTGTCAAGCAGAGCATTCTGCCAGAGTCTGAACATCATCATGTACGTCCTGTCTCGAGCCCCAAAGGAAGTAAAAAAGTGCTGGAAGGGAAGAGATGGGGAGAAAAGTGTGTTCAGAAAAGGCCCAAAAAAGGGAATACGAAGAGACAAGCCTGTTTGGATCCCTTTCCAGCTGCAGTTCGTGGAAGGAGTGAGCAAACCACACTGGATGTTTTACCTGGCCCCACATCCCACCCCCCACATCCGAGCTCCGTGTGTTCCAGACCCAGCCCCTTCCCCTTGCTGGGAAAAATCCCACAGTTTGGAAAAATCCCACACCACCCAGAATTCCCCTGCCCCTGAGAGCCATCAGAAGCGAGGGCTTCAAGGATGTACCTTTTCAGTGTCAGTGCAAACTTGGATGGCATTGGGAATGAGCCGGGCTGTCTTCTCCTTGGTCATCGAGCAGATGTCCTTCAAGCGAACGGTCAGCTGTGGGCACAGCCACCCAGGAAGGAAAGAACACAGGGAAAGACAGGAGATGATGAGAGAGACAAAGAAAAGAAGTGCTTCCAGAGCAGTGCCAGCAAACGTGCTGACACAAAGCCCACTGGCACACAGCCTGGCAGCCTCACCAGTGTCTCCCAGCGGAAGATGTTGCTGTAGAAGCAGATCCAGTTTTCCGAGAGGTAGAGGCGGCCCTGCAGGAGGATGTCTCGTTGGAGAGCACATGAGTAATCTGTGGGTGGACAGCAGAGGGTTTAGGAGCAGCAAAACCAGGCAGCAGGACAGCCTAAAGGTGAGGATGAGTGGCAGCACGGAGAGAAGAAGCTGCTTCACACAACCCAGCCGAGCCCCAGCTGCTGCCCCGGCCACTGGGTTATGTTTCCTCCCAAGGGCACATCACACACAGTCTCTCTCACTGACTGATGATCCTGCCTGATCAGCTGGCCACTCTGGAGCATCCTATGCAGGACTGCCAGATTTAATCTGTCTCCTCTGTTTTGCCTTCTAGTGTCATTGTTCACCTCCCTCCCAGTTCGAGCATCCTCAACAATTCCCACCCCTCTGCCCCGCCGTGCCTCGCTCAGCAGTGAGACACAGCCCGAGATCAGCACTTACATAAGAGAGCAGAACAGATGCAGTGTTCTTGCAGCCCCCAATCAGCCCAAGCCTCTCTGGGCATGGGAAGGGCAAGCATGTGTGAGCTGGGAGCACCAGGAAGCGAGGGAATAGGGAAGCTCTGTGCTGTTCACATGGAGACCTGCAACCCCCACCACACGAGGCCACAGAGAACCCTCTAAGACTCTTCTTGAGCACTAGAAGAGCACAAACACCCTGTGAGGTTTGGGGAACACTGGGGAGGAGAACATGCTCCTCGAATCATGAGGGAACCCATCACAAATCAGTGCTGCTCTCCCTGAAGGAAAACGAGTGGAACCCACCCGAAATGGTGAGGAGGGGCTCTGTCTGCACAACAGGGTTTTCCTTGGTGGCAACCTCTTTGCAGAAGGAAAAGCTGGATGCACATGTGCTGGATTTCCCCCCCAGCAGGACAGAGCAGAGCCCTGAGGGGCTGCACTTACCCACGATGAGTCGCTCCGTGTCCGGGAGCTGCTTGAAGAGTTTCCTGAAATCCTCATTCCGTTGTTTGTACGTTGGACTCAACACCTGCAAATAACAGAGGGCCTGTTAAAGAGAGGGGCAGGCATGAGAACAGAGCCATGGAGAGGGAAAACGGGAACACCTGGGGAAGGAGAAGGGGGGTCAGATGCACTCACAAAGCATGAGACCAGCTCCCATCACAGCCAACAGAGATGGGAGGGTTTGGGATTTAGTGCATTAAGTGAGAAGAAGAGGAGAACCTGACTTGGAAGAGCAAGTACAGGGTAGAAGGGCTGCACCCATACCTGCAGCTGGGAGTTGCCTGGAAGCTGTGGCTGCAGGGGAAATCTCCCTCCCTGCAATCCCAAACTGGACAAGGTATGACATGTGCTCTGTTTGCAGTGCATCAGTTAACTGCCAATTCCCAGCTGAGCTCAGCAAGTAGGTGATCCAGCACAGCTGCAGCCCTGCCAGAGGAATTTGAGCAATCCCTGCCATCAAGAGCTCAGGAATACTGCTCTCATCCCAGCCCTCTCCCCATGGAGGGGCACTCCGTGCACACACAGCTATGTGCTGCTGTGGTGAGGACACTTCTGTGGGGCTCAGAAAAGGCTCTCACAGGGACTAAACTGTGTCATGCACTTATTTTGTGCCCTGGCCTCATGGAAGGGCTCGGAGAATGTGGTGCTGTTGGCTGGAGGGAGACCAGGAGTTGGCTCCTCTCTGGGATTTGCTGAACTACAATGTGAACTCCATGTCAGACCACCTCCTCCACACCCTGCCCTGCTGACAGCTCCCCAAAACAGCCACAACAGCCTCTGAAGGCAGAGCTGCCCAAAATAGAGGCAGGGGTAAATTCCCATCTCCCAGATAATCTGCCACGTTCTTCCTCACACAAATGTAGGGAAGGAGAAGCCTCCTGGGGTACAACCTCTTCCCTCCCTACCTCCCATTTCTTCCCAACAACCTTCTCCTATCTCTTCCAGCTACACAACACAAATCTCCCAGAGCAGAAAGGGCCTCAAAAATCAAAGGTAGCTTCTGTTTGAGATGGTGGTGGGAGTCACAGGGGTGGGAGGAATGTGAAGTTTATTTAGCATTAGCCTCACAGAATTGCCAAGTGCTGTCAAATCAAAGAAGATTTGATTTTGGCTGTCAAATCACAGACAGCCTCCTGTCCCCAAAAGCATTCCCTCTTCCTCACACCAATTCAATGAATACAAACAGTGTATTTCAACATGAGCTCAGCACTTCCAATACTTGCTCCAGTCCTGTGGGCCCAAAGGAAAGGATCTTACTTGGGAATCAAACCCGACAGGCAGCAGATGACACAAATGTGAATTTTACTCACCAAACTTCCAGCCTGAACATCTGGAAAAGATCTTGGTCAGAGACAGGCTCCAGAAAGAGCCCAAGCCCAAGATTTCCAGGAACAAGCAGACAGGATGGGAACAGAGTGGGGAACAGAGATTGTAATCAGCTCTGAGCTTTGGGTTCAGTGCATTAACACAACACAGCTTCCATGTGCAGGGGCAGTCCCTTCCCTGCACTAAGGGATGGTCCAGCCTGCCTAAAACCTGTCCTACAGCAGATGCTCTGCTCAGCACCAGCAGTTCTGTCAGGGTGGCAAACGGTTCAGTTTAGAGACACTCACAGCTGGGATTCCATCTGATCCAAGGCTCACATTTCCTCGTGACAAGTCGACAAGTCCCTCCAGGTCCCACCGCAGACATGGCAGCTCTTGATCCAGCAGATGATCCCAGAGAGACCCACACTCCAGCAAGGAATCCATGGTGCTCCCTCAGCACTTGCACAGCTCCCCGTGCTCTCCAACTCTGCTTTTCCTGTTCCTGCTCCCGCCGCTTCTTGTTTATGTCCAAAGTCGACAGAGATACAGCAGCTTGGCAGGAGTTTAGGTCCCTTCCCCTGCCTTCCTGCTCACTTTTAGCTCCTCTGCCCCAGCAGCCCCTGAGGATCTTGGAGAGGACTTGCCCTCCAGAGGACTCTCTTCCAAGTGGCTCATCGGGGTAACGGTGCTGGTGGGCGACCCCAGTGCTCTCCTGCTCCCGGCTCAGCAGCTCCTTGCCGTGGGCATCCCCTGCACAAGTGCCCACAGCCGTCCCAGCAGGTCTGTGCAGGGCACCTGCAGCTCCTGATGTGCAGGGAAGGCAGAGCCAGCCACCAAAATACCTCCAACCCCAGCGGAGCAGCTGGAACTCACGGATGGAGCCGCGGCTTCCAGGGCTCAACAGGCTGGTAAACAACTCCCACTTCAGCTCTTCCCCCCTCCTCTGAAAGCAGAAAAGCAGTAATTCTTCCTCCTCAGGCTGTGCTCTCTAATCCCCCTCTGCTCTCAAAGGCAGCTCCAGTCGGTGTGTGTTTCCCAGGGAAGGGGAAGATCCCAAAATGCCTCGCACATGCCTGGAGTCACTGGAGCCGGGTAATTCCGGCGGCCAATGCCCGGCAGTAACCCAGCCCCGGCCCTGCCTCCCAGCAGATGTTTCCTGTCATGGAAAGTTGCTGGACAGGGTGTGCTGGGGGAGCAGCGAGGGGAGCAAGGAGAGACCAGCCTAAGGAATCAGGAACCAGCCCTGTGAGACCCACACAGACAGGAATCTGGAGGGCTGCACTGCTCCTCTGTGCATCCCTCTCCCCCCCAAAAAACAACAGGAATTTTTAGGTTTCATTTATCAGTCAGGTCACACTGGAAATGAAAGGCAAGGGCTTCCTTGCAAAAGAACTCCCTGCAAGTCCCAGGGAGTGCTGGAACTCCCTGTATCCCTCTGCCCTTAGTGCCCAGGCAGCCTCTCCATCTCCCTGCCCAGGTACAGAAATGCACAGGTAAATGTTCACCCCACGGCACCAGTGATGCTCAGCTATCAACAAACAAGCAAAATCCTCATTCTTCCTAACAAACTGGGCACACAGGTCTCAAAAAGAACCAAAACCAGAAAAACACCAAGCAACCAACCCAGCCTCTGCAGAAGTCTGGTTCCACTCCAGGCCAGTGACTGCAGCTTGCTCATTGACCCTCTGCCTGCTCAGCTGCTCCCCAAAATCACTGCTGCTCCCAGACAGCACACAGGTCTCTCCATTTAGCCCTGTTAAAAGGAACCAGTAGATCCATATGCATCCCAGGATGAGGGAACAATAAGAAACCAAACCATTCTGTAGCCTGGGAAGGACTAAGGATTGGGATCACAGGCATCTGCATTGCTTTACTGAACGGCCCTCTTTGCTGGAAACTGCATATGGGATTCACCTATGGAAAAACCCCACCAGGATGGTTCTGTCCACACCCCCACCCACCTGCCTGTGCAGAGATGAAGGACACCAGTGATGGGAAGAGCTGACCTGGAGGTGGAGGCAGCAAACATTAACTCTACTGCAAACAGAGGGAGACGGGACAGGACGGCACTGCCAGGGCTGGGGGGAAATGGGCAGAGAAGGTGACTGCCCACGGTGACATCTCCCTCTTATACACAAACAAATCCTCCCCAGGAAGCCCAAAGCATGACCTGAAGGGCAGGGAAGTTGGACAACACAAGAACTGAGAGGTGTGTGGAATTGTACAGCACGTGTCACAGAAAACGGGTGAGCAGAGATGGCAAGAGGCAGAGGGGAAAGGGGGGAGGAAAACCTTTATCCAACTTGCATGGCTGATGGACCTGCTCTTAAGCCTTTAGGGAAGATTTACATTGCTTCTGGAAAACTGCTGGAAAAGAACAGAATACATTCCCTGCTTGTGTGGGAGAGTTTTGACCCCACTGACAGCAAAGAAACTGGCCACCTGTCCCACAGCATTTCTTCCAAAGCCAGTCTGGTTGTTCAGATTTTTCTTCTTTTTTTTCTTTTTCTCCTTTTAAAAGTGAATGGAGAGCAGGGGAAGATGCTGCAAAGCAGTCACTGGCCATCTGGGGTGGAAAATTGGATTTCATAATCACACCAGCTTGCACCAGAAGTTCACTTCTAATTTAGTGGCTCTACAACCCAACTGAGCCAGGCTGGCACTCCATACACCTAAAGAGCCAAGGAAAATCTGACAGGATGAAAAACACCTGAGAGACAGTGAGTTAACATTGCTCCAGAGAGGATTTGATAACATGGTTATGGAACTTAAAAGATGGCTGTGCTGATATAGAGAGAAAAAAGGCTGTTCCACACCTTGCTCACTCACAGGCCTGGATTTCTGCAGTCAACCCTGTTCACGTGGTTGCTGTTGCTGAGGCTGCCACTCACAGGAAAGGTGTTTCTGATGTTTTCCCTAAAATGATGCATAATTTCTCTTTGTCTTCATAGGGAACATTTGACTCTTTTCAACAGCTCAGTCTCCCCTCCCCTCTGGGTATCTCCGAAGTCTCCAAGAAGAAGAGACAGCACAGGGCTGAGTCCTTGTGGTGTTGAGTCTTGTGATGGCTTGAGGTTTTTCTTCAGAAGCTCAAGGGCTGCCCAAAGGTCTCCACAAAGGCCCTTTGCAGCATCACATTTCACCACAGATCCTCAGCCAGCCCCCAACTCCTGTTGCACAGGCTGTCACTGCAGCTTTCCCAGAGGAAAGCCTTGGGCTCTCTCCTCTGCCTGGGTGTGTTTTTGAGGCTCAGAGCTGCCCTGTGTGCAGAGCATTTGTTTGCAGAGCTCCAGGGGCACTCCTGTCCCACTCCGTGCCATCCCCAGGGCAGACTTTGCTCTCCCAAGGACAAATAGGAACAACTGGGCTCCCACTGATCTGTTCAGACTTACAGGGACAGCAAATGTTTGTAGTGGTATTTAAGAACACTTGACATGGACAATCAGTGTCTTTTCAGTGTTCAGGTCAGTTATAGGGAGAAGCTGTCAGAAGAAAAATAATCAAGCATGTGATAGACAAAAGCAAAGGAAGGGAGTACAGAGTAGGGCAGACCTTGGGATCCCAATAATAAAGTGAAAACCTCGTGGACAGATGTAAATCTCACCTCTCCCCTGCTGTCAACTGTTTCCTCTAACTTTTCAAGATCATCTTACTGTCTTTTCCAGAGCATAGTCTAGATTCTCCTGATGCCTGGTGCTACAGGAGGCAATTTAAGAAGCAAGCCTTGCTTCAGAGCAGCAGAAACGCTGCAGAAAACCAGAGACACCCTCCCTAATTTAGGAACAGGGAAGCAGAAGGACTGACAGTCCAACTGAGACAGAAATAGGCAGAAAAAACCACAGCAGACTTGCCAGTGTGTCAGCTGTGCTCTGACATCAGGACACAGGATCTGAGAGCTCCCCATGCTCAGAAATGGGGCCCTCTGCCCAAAGCCCAGAGAGAAGGAGGAGAATGAAGGAGAGCTTTTAGCCTTGGCAGCAAAATATCTCCAGTTTGGCTCTAATTTTAATGACATCTGCTGGGTGACAAATTCCTCCCACCAATTGTGGAGCTCCTGACATCCCCCCCACACAGAGCAACTCCTGTTTCATGTCACCAGGGAAGTGAAACACAAGTTTCCCACCTCTCCAAGAGCAGCAGGTGTGCAAAAGTCACACCTCTGTTTCAATACACAAAATCACCGAGTAAGTTCGGGGGTGAGGTCTGTTCTAATTTTTTAAAATTAATTTAAAAACAACTTTTAAAATTAAAAAAAAAAAATCAATTGCCAATAATTCACCATGCAGACACACAAGTTCCAAAGCCTAAACCACAGCTGAGCAACAGAGTTTTGCTCCATAAGAATCACAATTCTTGTAAACCAGAGTCTCCTTGTCCACAATTCCTCAATGAAGGCATGACAAACACCTCAGGGACATTCTGCTCTTCCACCACGAGGACATGAACACAAAGCAAACCCCACAAGGTTGAGTATATTTAGATTTATTCTCCAGCTGGGGTTCTCTTCTAAATCTCACAGTGCATCAGGACCAGTTTGCATTTTGTCCTTTGGAAAGCCAAGCACAGAAAGCACACCCAGACCCAGAGAGGGCAGGTCTGCAAACCAATCCATGACCTTTTCTCCCACTTCTCAACCTGGCAGGGATGTCAATCCCCAAAAAGCACTGGTAGGATCAAAAGGAGAACACATAAGGCAAAAGAACAAGTGGCATTTTAAGGAAAAAAATAGAGAAAAAGGAATCCAGGAGAGGGAAAAGGGAGGGTCCCAACTGGCAAAGAGGGATGCAGTGCTACAAGAACAAAAAGACCAGTTAAAAGCAGCAGAAACCAAAGTCATCTTAGAAAACTGGTGATGCTCTGGGGATCTTTGAGGACTCTTTGAGGCAAGGGCTATTTTTTGGTTTGTCTGCACAGTGCCTGGCACCCAGGGCTGCTGAGCTGGCACAAAGAACAATGTGGAGGGTGTTTGAGCACAGTGGAATTTATGTAAAATGAAAGTGAGTAAGGGAAACTGTAAGGCTTCATGAAGAGGCAGCCTCCACTGATTCACTTCCAGAGCTGCTCTCAGAGGGGAAAGGAATGGAAGAATCAGAAGGGTCCAAATGCCAGAAAAATGCTGCCTGGAAGGAGCTGGCAAAGAAAGGAGACCACACATTAGCACATTTTTGATGGTAGTAATAATTCCAAGTAGGACTGACTGGCTTCCTGGAGTTTGTGGCCCATCCATATTTTCACACTGCTGCTTTTATCTGGCCAGAATGACTCTGCTAACTAGAACATGGATTTGGTTTTTGGTTTGTTTTCTAAAGGAAAATAATGGGGAGGGGGGGAGGAAAACCACAAAAAATGCAGCCAGTGCTTACTCTCCGGATGTACTGTCTCTCATGCTGAAAATATATGGAGGAAAAACAAGAGAACAGAAAGATAAGATAGAGAGGACATGAAAACACAGGAGACCCACAGAAGCAGAGCACAGCAAAGCATCATGCACAGGGAATGGAGCTCAGCAGCTACAGGTAGAAGCAGTAATAGCACAAGTCACCTTCAGCTTGGTGACAGGTTCACATTTTGGCAGCAGCCTGCTCAGGCTGGTGCATCTGCATCCACGGTCCTTTACCTGCCACTTCTCCACTAGTTTGGTCTCCCATGGTCTGTATTTTATTCCTAAAGCCACTGCCTCATCTGCTCCTGAGATCACTTCTCCTCCTGTCCGTGCTACCACCCCTGATTATATCCCACAAGCACCTAACTCTGCCTCTCACACCTCTGCCACATCTGACCAGCCAAAATCCCAGGTTCTGATGTCCCAGGCTGCAGGAGGAACTGCTGCTGAACATTAACAGCTGCTGCATTTGCCCACTGGCTACTTGAGAGCACTCCAGGGAGGGGTTCCAACTGTGCAAAGGGTGGCACCAGCTCTGCACCACGACACTCGTGCTGGCAGCACCACAACAGGGCCAGGGCAGAAGCAAGGGATGGTTTGTGTTTCTATGGGGTCACCAGAAAAATAACTCCTCTCTCGCCCCCACACCACCCTGAGAGATGCAAAGGGCTTGCAGGGTGGCAGCTCTTGTTTGTCACCTCGTCACGACCCACCCTGTGAGGAACCAGAGGCACAGGGTGTGGGGATCACCAGGACAGGGGCTGAAAAGACAAAGCTCTCGCTCTCTATCTCTGGCATCCTTTCCCTCAGGATGCCAGTGCTCCTTTGCCAGTGCTGAGCCATTTCCATCTCCGTTTGGGAAGGGTCAGAGTGCCCCAGTGCCACTGCAAAGCCCCTTTGCACCTTCCCCCCGCCCAGGCCCCCAGCCCACATCCACCCAGGGACAAGAGAAACTGGAGTACTTACATTATACCAACTCTGGCTTTTCTGTAAGGACAAAATAAAAGAGAAGCATTAGTCAGCACAGAGATCTCAGGATCAAAAAGAAAGAGGGACAGAGAAAGCAGGTCCAATCTGGTTTGTGCAATTAGTGGAGTGAGAGTGGGATTAAACAAAAGATTTCAATGGATTCCACAGTGTAGTCTGAACACAATTATTTCCAGTTACAGGAGCAAAGAACAAATCCAGAAGCATGATTCCAGGACAGGGAACAGTTCAGGCTAAGGTGTGCATGTCCACATGCACACACACAGACACACAGGCTGGCATCTGTTCTGCAGACCAGCAGCACCTGCTACAACAGAGGAGCTCATCACCATCACCATCACCATCATCATCATCATCACTGCCAGCCGTGTCTTTAGGGGCTTCACTCTTCTGCATTTGCTGGCTGGGTGGCAAAAATCACATTGCTGAACAGCCCCTGCAAATAAACCCTCAAAGCACTACTAGAGGCAGGGACTCACAAAAAGCCACCAGGCAAATTTTTTCAACAGCATTTTAAAAGGGAGACACACACACACACACACACGGAGCCAGGGGAAGTGCTGAAGGAAATCACTACAAAAGCTAAGCAAGGGGGAAAAAAAAAAAGGCTGGGATTTTTTTTTTCTTCTCAAAATTTCAGTGCACAGTGTTTTGCATCATCTGCACATGTGATTTTTTTAAAAATCTTTTTGTCCTTATTGTGGCATTTGGGGTGGTTGGAGAGGACAGGCCACATGTCACACTGGAGCACATGGAAGAGCTCAGCTTGGAAAGTCACACTCAGCCACTTTCAGCTGGAGGTGAGATCCACCTGCACAGGGAGAAGAGGAAGGAACAAGCTTCCCACTCCCACTCCAGTCAGGGTGGCTTTCCAATGACACTGAGCAGAGCTGACAGGACATGCAGGCATCCCCCATTTTTGGGTGGAAACACCTCAGGGCACTGCAGCCTTTGAGCACTGAGGGTGCTCAGCTACAGTGTCCTGCCAGGAACACGTCTCAGAGGCACAAAGCTGAGCTGTCCCCTCTCCCAGCCATGTCCACATTCCTTGGGGGAGCCCAGGAAAACAGACAAGGACAGCAGCAACACCCCACTGCATTTCCTCTCCTTGAAGCCACCTTGCTTCTGACCTTGGCAGTATTTTTCACTCTTTATACCCAGCCAGGGATATGAAGGCAAGCACAAAACTGTTCTCTGCCTTGTAACAGAGAGTTTCACTCAAGAGTGAAGCTCAAGCTCACAGCAACACAGAAACCACCTGCACTGGGGTGGCCCACAGAGGACACACAGGATGTTTTACCATAAAAAAGTACATTCAAAGTGTTAATGAGAGCAGACTGGACCCAAGATTTCTGTGAAGACACACTGTTTTCTCCCTGCTCTCAGTTCCCTCTGCCCCTTCCATGCCATTCCAGCAAACACAACCTTACTGGTGTCTTGGATTTCGTTCATGGAGACGTTTCTGAAGGGTATTTTAAAACCTTGGGTGCACCTCCCAGTTTGCCTCACTGATCTCAAAACCCCACAGTTACACAGTTCATGTCACAGGCTAAAATACAGCAGTTTGATGTTAAAAAGAGGAACCCCCCTTTCCCCAAATCCCAGGGAAAGGATATGAACTGCAGGACTGAACAGAGTACAGCTCATCAGCTACCCAAGGAATTTCCTCTTGCTTCCTACACTTTTCCATACCCTCCATTCATGAAGGATCTGCTTGAAGTCATCCCTCCCTGCAAGCAGGACGTGGAAAAAGGCCTTATGCAACTCAGTCTAGGCTAAAAAAAGAACCAGGGTAATTAACCCAAAGCATGCACACAGCACCTTGTCCTCGGGAGCACAGGGCCTAAGATGGAGTGGTTTTCCTGCAGGTTTGTTTTGCCATCTGTCTGCCTTTAATGAGCAAAAGGAGTAACTCAGAAAATTCCTGGGGAAAAGCAGCTCATAATCAAGCTATAATTGGCACACTCGAGGCAGAGGCACTGCTGTCACTGTGCCTTCTAAATCAGGGTGCACACGCTGTGGTGGCAGCACAGCACAACAGGATTTCACTCCCCTCTGCTGCATTAATTGCAGCAGCTATTTCCCACCACCACCACATATGAATTTCCCCAAATTAAGGAGCTCCTCTCTAAAGGAGCCCTGCAGGTTCTCCTTTTTTAAGCTCTTCCACCCCCAAAAAAACCATACTGGCATCAGTAAATACACTGAAATCCATAATTATACTGGCACCCAAGCCTCATCTTTTGCCTCCACCAAATGTTCTAACAGACTACAAAAAGTTCAAAGAGAAGAGAGACCAAGCCTTTAAATCTCTCTTGTATCTTATTTACCCTTTTGTTTTATACTCAGTAACAGAATATAGGGGGATGTGAACTGAAAACCAAGAGACAGTAAAATGGAGGAGAAAAAAAAAGAAAAAGGAAGAACATGTTTCTTACTTTGAGCAGGTTAAGTCTGTCATACTGGAAAAAGAAACCATAAGCATTAGAACTGAAAAGAGAAAACAAATAAGTAACAGAGGAATGGAGGTGCACACAGACATGGAGAAGATGGGACTGGTTTGCAGAGATGATGCTACAGGAGCAGAGAGCAGAGGAAGAGCTTTGGAGAACTTGAGCGACACGAAAACTGGAGTATTTTCCCTAAGCCTTCAATTAATGCAGTGCTGCCTCTAAATCTCTGTGGGTTAATAACCCCATATCTGACACAGTGCTGTGGAGGATCCCAGCTTTACACAGTGCAGATGGGAAGCACAGGGGCACACAGACAAAGTTCACCCTGATAGCCTGATCCAAAGGAAGCTCCCACCTTCCAGCAGCACTGGGAGCAGGATCACAGCTCACTCTCACACACTGCTGCTCCCAGAGGAACAGAAAGCTTGTGCCAAGTGCCTGACATGCCACAGGGCTCCAGGAGAATCCCTAAATCCCTTCTGCTGGGGACAGAGGCACAGAACGAGGAATATGTTCCAGAGCATGGAATATATTCCAGAGCCCTTTCTCCTGATCTGTGCACTTCCAAAATCTCTGCTACCCACCTCTAAATACCTGTGGGCAAATAACTCATAGAAATTAATTAAATTTATTCCCCAAACCCTCACCCCAGCCCAAAATGACCAGAATTTCATGAGCTACGACCTAAGGGGGGATTATACCACCCAGTGGGAGGGTGAATGAGAAGACACAGCCCAACTCTTCCTATCATCACACACTGAAAGGACAAGGTGCAACAGTCATAAGCTGCAGTAAAGGGAAATTCTATTTGGGTAGAAGGAAAAAGCCTGTTCACAAGAGTGGTTAAGCACTGGAGCAAGGGCTGGGGGATCTCCAGCCCTGGAGGTCTGCAAAACGTAGCTGGCCAAGACTTTAGACTGAGCTTATCTTACCACATCAGCCCTGCTTTGAGAGAGACCTTCCCAGATCTCTTCTGACCTAAACTGTTCTACAGTGCCCAGGGCCCACCTCAAAAATTCAAGTTTTCCCCTAACCTGGTATTAATCCTCAGCATTCCTCATTAGCTGTGGGCATTGGGAACAATTTGAAGGACTTGCAACGGAGAGGAAACCACTTTTATCCTTGGGCAAGAGCAAAAGAGTTAAAAATACATATTTTGTTGTTGGCTACTGGCAAAAAAGGATGGGTTTTCCTGAGTTTGGAAAGCTGTTCCAGAAGAAGCAGCACTGCCAGTGAAAGCCTGAGGCTGACACAGACCTAGGGGTGGTTTGGTCCTTGCCACACCGGGGGACAGAGAGGAAAAGCAGGTCCAGGAGGGATCGCCTCAGGATGGAATCCAGTGCTTAAAAACTCCTGGTGAAGCGCTCCCTCTGATGGCAGCGCTGCAGCACGACAGGACACACGGACAGAAGAGGGCAAGGGACTCAAGCAGATCTGTCAGCAACTGTATAAACACAGCGTCAAACTCATGGGCTCAAGCTGTTCCATTTCATTAGCCAGACAGGTTGGAAAATCGATTCCTCCTGCAGGAGATGGCTGGGGGAGGAGAGGAGGCTGAGGAAGGAGAGTTTAAAATCTCTGTCCTTCCCTGCTCCTGAGCTCTCCCTGTCTTGAAAAACCACCGTCATCTAAGTGGGGAGAATCAGGGGGTTTGTTATATCTGGAATTCCTCATCTGTGCCAAAGAAAGAGCAGAGAACAGGGATCCAGCCTGCACACTGGGTTAGGCTGCACAGAGACTGGGCTTGATCATCCCTGTGGGTCCCTTCCAGCTCAGAATATCCTCTGTGTGTGTGTGTGAGCAGGGCAGGAGGCTCTGACAGGCTGGTGGGGGTCATGCCCAGGATCCCCTTCCCTCTGAGCATCACCTTCCTCACACTGGGACCAACCTGGGCTCCACTTCCCTCTTGTTTCTCTAATTGTCTCCCAGCGGGTGGGTTTTGTTCTCCCAGAAAAGCAAGGGGTGGCTGCAAGCACATCACAGACAATTTACACACACATTGCTCTCCACCACTGTTCTTCCCACTCCTAACAAACCTCAACACAGACATCAGTCCCACTCCTCTGCAGTTATCCAAGCTACAGTTACCAAGCACAAGACAGCCTGTCTAAAAAAAAAGAGACATAAAGAAGCTTCCAGGAGACACCAGGATTCGTGCAAGGCCAGGCTGGTTACAAGGATCACCACCAAGGGAAGAGCCAGCCCTGCTCCCTGAGGACTTGCCTAGAATGACCCCCAAGGCCAAGGCATGGATTTTGTGGGTCATGAAGCCATCCAGGCCAGTCTGCTTTTAACTTTCCCTGCACACATGTGGAAGTGCCAACAGCCTATCTGATTTTCACACTCTTCTCAGGGCAGCACAGAGGTGTGAGATCCAACCTCAAATGATCTTATCTCCAATCCAAGCACCCACAGAGGGATCTTCTACTTGTCACCTTCCAGAGGAGCCCATGAATTCTCACAATTCATCTGGGACAGGTCTGTTCTAACAGGTTAAAGCTGGGTTCACTTGAAATCACTGATCTTTAACATTTACATCACACAGGGAAGCGTGCAAGGGCAGTAAAGCTGAGACCACTGGCCACAAAACTGCTGTTCATCATAAAAAGCAGGGAAGAAGCTATGGAGAGCAACTCTTTTTTCTGAAAGTCATGAAGGAAGAGGAGAGAGGGAAGAGAAGGGATTATGGTTCTGCTCAACCTACCAAATCCAGGGGACTTCTCCCTGGCAAAGGCAGCTGCTCACTTCTAGGGAGGGGGAAAGCAAAACTAAAAGGCTGAAGGCAGCTGGAAGTAACTGAGGGAGCGTGATGAACAGGCCAGTTCTCACTCTGTGTGAGCAAATATTAACGAGATGCCGGGGATTTAAGTGAAAGCAGCTTCCAGCTACAGGCACGGGGCTGAGCTCTGCTGGCATTCTCACAGCTGCACCAGGAGAATGCCTGTGACTGGGGTCACCACTCAGCACCTGAGTGATGGGACAATTCTACAGTGGGGGACAGGAGAGAAAAAAGAAGGCTTACTTTGGAGAGGCGCTTGTGTGACTTAATCGGAGAGAAAGCATGCAGGAATGAAAAGAGAGAAATTAGGGAAAGAAGAAAAATTACCTGGCAAATCAAGAGAAGGAAACCCCACAAATCCCAACAGAGAGCAGCATACCCCCCCTTTTCTCGTGGAAAGCACCATGAATCAAATTTAAGCTTCAGCAGTCACTGTTTTGGTAACAATCTCACTCCTGTGGCCTTAATCCACAGCACTTTGTGGGCCAGGGCAGTGCAACTCATGTCTGCAACTCCCCCTTAGCAAGGACACCACTTCCCTGAGAGCAGCCCTGAGTGTGGCCACAAACACAGCATGCCCTGCATCCTGCCTGCCTGCCATGCCATTCCATCCCATCCCATGGCATCCCATCCCATGGGGGTGTCACCCGGCGGTGTTTGTAGGTCACTGTGTGCACAGGAAGCCAGGCTGACCCCGAGGGCAACCTCACAGCTCAAATGGTTCAGCTTGAAAAAACCCTTCTCCCCCCTCTTTTGAACTCACACAACTCCCCCTCAGTGGGGAGAGATCAGCTCAGCCCAGGGAATGTGGGCCACTGAATCCCGTTCCTGTGCTGAGAGAGCCCACAAAGGGCAGCAGATGAAGGTTTCTCGTGTGTGACACAGCCCAGCAACAGGTCAGGCAGAGATCTAACAGCTCATTCTGTACAAGCCACCAGAGTTATGCCAGAGTTCTAACTGTGAAGTTATTCAGGCTGAAATATTTCACTTCAGAAAGCTGGAAAAACACAAGTGCTCCTACCAGATGACTTAAAACACATCCCTGGATAGCAGGGTTACAATCAAAGGTATGTTTGGCTCCCAAGGGCTGTGTTTCACCAGCTCCCACTGCTCACAGGAAAACCCAGAGTTGCCAAACCTGAGACCCTCTTCTGCAACACAGCAAAGACAAGGCTGCTTCTAACATGGTCCAAGGACACAAAACCTTTCTAGGGAAAATACCACCTACCCTGGCCAAGCCAGCCCTGACACTGCACTGATCAGAAGGAATGGGCAGAGGACTGGAAAACTGATTCTGTGCAACCTGAGCCTCACCTCAGAGGGCTCAGGCAGGACTGAGAGTGCACAAGCCCTTCACAGGCTGCACAGGGGAACCTTTATTTTTTCCATGGCACTCGACGATCCAGATGACAGAAAGTAATTTCAACAGCTGATTTTCAAGGTCTTTCTCACAGAGCCTCCCAGGAATCAAGGCTTTGACTATAGAAAGTGAGGCTCTGGAAGCTGTTAGGGAGCTGCAGTACCAGCCATCAGCAGCTCCTGGACTCAGGTCGCTGCGAGGATGATGGAGCTGTGCTGAAGTTTGACCCCAGCGAGGAGGACTTGACCCTACTTAGGAAAACTTGACCCCAGTTAGGAGAACTTCCAGAAATACGACGGGGGAAGGAGGAGGAGAGTTATCCAGAGGAACAGAAGGCACAGGACAGAGCCAGTGTCCTGCAGCTGGGAGCTCAGCACCGGGGATACGTGCCCACCTCGGCCGGAGCCGCTCGCTCGCTGCTCACCTTGGAGTTCTTGGCCCCACTGCGGCCTGACTGGGAGGAACAGCTCCGCTGGACACCCTGCTCCGGCGTGGAAGGGGATTTGTCTGAGGAGTGGTCCGAGCCCTTCTCCACCATGGCGTCTCCCGGGGCGTCCTGCGGCGTCGGGGAGCGGGAGCGTTTGCGCAGGATGGGGGAGCAGGCAGGAGTGCTGCGGTTGGAGTTACTGGCAGTACTGCAGGGAGGGAGAAAGAGCAGGGTTAGCCACCCCCAGCTCAAAGTGAAACCAGCTGCACCCCTGCCCCGAGGTGTGCAGAGCCCACAGATCTCCCCACCAGCAGGGCAGACAAATCTGGCTTCCTGGAGCAACACGTCCAGCGAATTGGGGCTGCTGACAGTCATCATTTCCCAGGGGCAGAGGAACTGCCACAGCCTGGCAGTGCCCTTCTCCACCCACTCTTCAGTTCATCTGACCACAGACCAACGAACTCATTCTCCTGTGGGCTCCAGCAGTTTCAAGTGATGATGATCTGAGCTTAGAAAACCTAAACTTGCGCTCAAGAATGAGGGAGATGTCTGTTTTCTCAACACTCTGTCCCTCCTTAACTTTCTCTTCACTGTTCTCAACAGGATGCATGACAATGGGATCACACTCTGTTAAAGGTCATCAAAACCCAAAAATGATGGGGCACTGGGAGGGAGGTCATGATGACAGACACTGCAGTCATGAGTTCCTGTACAGAATCATCCTTTCCCACACCAGTTAGAGTTGGGCATGAGAACGTTTTGCTACAACGTGAAACACTTCATGATTAAAAAAAAAAAACAACCCAAAGTTCCCCTTTCATAATGGGAAAAGTAAGACCTTCTTGAGTCTTACAGAAATTATGAGACGTTTAGGAGAATGGAAATTCTCCTCCTCTACCCTCAGTAAATGCCCCAACACCTCAGTCAGAAAGTCAGTAATACACCCATTAATACAGAACAGGAAAACTCAGATTTCCTCACTGGTCCTTCTCTTTTGATGCCTCTTCTTCCTGCCAGACTCTTCATGCTACATCCATTTTCCCCCACGTCACTCATTTCCTTCAGCAGCCATATCTATTTCTGACCAGTCCAAACATCCCTGAGGCTTTTCCAGCAGCCTGCAGGTGCCAGTGGAACCTGGGCTGATCCAAGGATGAATTCTGTGCTAACTCTGCCATGCTCAGTGGTTTGGTACCCTGTTGTCTCTCAGAGCCACATCTGAGTGACAGAAAAGCAGGCAACAGGGAAAGCACGAGGGAATTACAACTGCAAGGGATTGAATTAAAAAGTTGGTACAACCAGACTCTTAAGGGCTATAATTTAAGCCCAATTATCTACAGCAAACTGAAGCTTCCTTCTCACACTCATACACAGTGAGGTACCTAAAAGGGATCGTTTCCTTTCTGAAAATCTCAAAAAGCTGAACACGTGCCTGAGGTTTCATTAATTCCCAGATAAAAATCATATCCACCCCTTACCTCTGAAGATGCCAAAACCTTTTTACACAACAGATAGGAGCAGACAATGTAACACGCTCCTGCAGCAGTTATCAGGCTTGGCTTGGTTTAGCACTGGATGAACTGGTCTCATAAATTATCCTCTATTTGCTCACTGCTTGTGTAAACCCACAAGTGATGAGACTTGCCCTAAACAATCTGCAGAAAGCACACAACCTGTGCAAACATTGACAGAACCAGATTTCACAGTAGCTGGCAAGGGGCAAGAACAGCAGGATGGAGCCCCACAGAAACCCCGGAGAAGATGCTTTCAAGGACATGAAGTGTGGAAGTTCACACAGAAAACGGACAGAAATTGGGTTTGCAAAATGTTCTACGAGCAGGAAGCTGGACTGAGTTACAGACTCTGCTCTGTTACCTGCTTTTACTTAGAGTCATACAGCTAGAGAACAATAAAAACCTGATTGTTCAAATGCAAAGACAGGCAGAGTAATCCCAGCCTTAGCTCGGTTCTTCACAGTTCACAATTAGCAATGGCACAGCTCATGAGTGTCATATATTGTCACAGCACCTTGTCCTGTGTCCTCCCTTTCCCTGGACAAGAAACAGAAACACATGTACAGCACAACTGTGGCAATATTCAAGATTTAAGCCCTCCAAATCACCTTTGAAACAAAAGACTAAAGAAAAGATGATCTGGACCATTCTCCCAGCAGCATTCCCTGCAACAGTTTGGGTATATCATAAAGTTAAACTATCAGGAATTTCTTAGTTATTGAAATTTTATAAAGTATCAGGTTTCTTCACAGACTTGCAGCTGATCCAGTTAAAGTGGGTGTTTCAGCTTGTCTGTCCTGCTGGTGCTCTTTCTCCTGTCTAAACCCACTTTTTAACAGCCCACCAGAGCCACACTGGTGGTACTAAAACTTCAAGCTCATCAGCAATGGTTCCAGTGATGGAAATGGTTCTGAATTGCCATTTCTAGACTCCACACAATGTAGAGTTCTAGTCAAAAACTCTACATTCTGAGGCTGTATTGGTCCTGCTTGCCCCCAGCAGCCTCGATGCAACACAAGCTGCTTTATGTGAGAGGTCCCCAAAAATACAAAGCCAGAATTTGAAGCCAGTGTTCCTGACTCACACATCACTGGACTAGTCTGAACAGATGTACTAATTTTGCTTCCACAGCTCTACAAAACCTGAGCTTATCATGCACGACCTCCCTCTCACTTTCGGTTCCTGCGAGTTCATACCCCCAGTTTCACTTTGGATGTGAGCTTCATGCAACCCTATAAAGACCAAGTCAAATTCACTCAAGGGTCTATTGGCTTTCAGGTCACAGTTGTGAGATTTTTAATGCTACTCAAAGTGCAAATCATTCAAAACCAGGGTTCAGCTGCATCACGTGCATGTGAAGCTCGGATGAAATGCCCTAGAAAGTTCTAGTTTTACTCTTTTTGTGGTATTACAAAGCTCCTCAGGTGGCTTTTTCAGTCACAGCTGAGTAACCCACACAGGGGCAGAATCAACACTAACTACCTTAAAGCTGCCATGTATATATTTGTTCATATTATCACAGCCACACATTTTGGTGCCAGCCCTGCCAAGCACAATCTCAGGCAGATTCCAGCTTTCAAGCTCGTTTTCCAGTCATTTAGCATCTCTGGCATGCTTTGAAACACTAAATCCATTCCCACAGACTGTGTTTGGGATGTATGGATTATCACCTTTGCAGGGACAGGGGGGGAAATAACTTCAAGGGCACCTTCTCTGGCTCTCCCTGAGGTCAGTGGCAGAGCCAACCAAAGGCAGGAGGGTCTGATTCCTCCTCTGGATGACTGGGAAAAGCTGAATATTTCTCCCCTGAGGGGCTCCACACGCCAAGAGTCTGTTAATTCAGCCTTTCACATCTAGGGCGGCGAGGATGGGCCCAAAAAGCAGCGGAGCTGCAGCTCCATCCCCCTCTCCTGCCCCTGCCCCGAGCCCCTCCAAACTCCTGCTCATTCCCTGGAGTTTGAATCCAGCCCAAGGCACAGCCATGTCGAACGCTTTCTGCAGTTGCCATGGCGACCGAGGCCTCCCAATTGAACCAGGAACCGGCGCCCGAGATGCCAAAACGGCCTGACCCACTTTGAAAAAAAAAAAAAAATAATAGTAATAAATAATGCTTTAGAGCCCTAATTGCCCAGAGAGCATTCAGGGCCTCACATCCCCCCCTGCAGCGGGGCCTGCAGCGGGTGCAACAGTTTAAGTGAGGGACAGAACACAAACAAGCCCACCTAAGCTGCAGCCCCTCGCTCCCAGGGGAAACCCTGCACGGAGTATGTGAAAGCACAGAAGGGCTGATTCTGTCTCCTTGGTTTATGCCCTCGCTGTGCCTAAGAAAAACCACCTTGTCCTGGGGTTGGAGCCGCAGGAAAAAATGCCACGGGCCGGGAAAGGGTCAAACTCTGTTCAGACGTGGAGGAAAAGCCTCGGTGTCTGGAGCAGCACAGCCTTTCAGAGCCTGAAAGGGTCTACAAGGAAGCTGGAGAGGGACTCTGCCTGGAATTGTAGTGATAGGACAGGCAAACTGAAAGAGAGCAAGTTCAGGTTGGATATATGGAAGGAATTCTTGCTGGGAGGGTGGGGAGGCCCTGGCACAGGTTTCCCAGAGAAGCTGTGGCTGCCCCATCCCTGGAAGTGTCCAAGGCCAGGCTGGAAGGGGCTTGGAGCAACCTGGGCTAGTGGAAGGTGTCCCTGCCCATGTCAGGGGGTGGAATGAGATGATCTTTAAGGTCCCTTCCAAACCAAAGCACTCTGTGATTCTACGAGCTTTTCTTCAGGTGGTGAAAAAGGACAAACACTTGGCAATGCACAGACAAGCCACCTGGTCACCCTGGGACACAAGGCAAGACACAGAAAGGCCACACTTCCTCCTCCAACAGAGTATTTTCTGTAAAGATCTGGACCAGCTGACGAACAGAGACTTCACCAAGCAGTCACTTTTGGGAAATGCTACAGCTTGTACTCCACAAGTGAAGCTTGGTGTTTTTACAGCTACAAAGGAACCCTGAGGACCCTGTGCAATGCTCTCACGGAGAACTCAACAAGAAACCTGCCTTAGTTCCAGTCTGTTAAGTAAATTCTGCAGGAATGACATTCAAGCAGCCCTGAACTGACAGGAAAGTCTGTCCATCCTACCAGATCTGAAACAACCACCCTGCCTGCCACTGCTACACAGCCAGCCCTGGGCTTGAGACAAGCACCCTGCAACAGTTCTTCCCCAAATTTTGGGTGCCCCAACAGCCAGGAGCCACCCTCCAGAAGAGCACTGTCACAGCACCAGTGGCTACAGCTACACTGCAGGACAGCAGCTCAGCATTCTCTCAGGGAGGGACACACACTCAGATTAGGAGGACACACAGCAAATCCATTGGAACCTGCCAGTTGCAGGATGTGAATTAGAATTCAGCCAGAAGTAATCACTGTGCTGCCAAAGGTTTTTTAACAAGGGCAGATCATCTAAACAAGCAGCAGCTCCACGTACACTGTGATCACCAGCTTCTCAGAGGGTTTCTTCCTCAAGAAAGTCCTGATCTGGAAAGCTAATTGGCCTCCAAGTCCTCAAAAGAACCTGCTTTATAAGAGTAAATCTGCAGCTGCTCAGGTCTCCCTGCAGCCCGTAGCATCCACCTGATGGAAGGCTCTTCAAGGCCCCAAGTTTGTGTTACAAAATCAAGCTTAATTCTGAAAGTGCTGAGCACTGTGT